CAAGCATTCCATTGTACTTCACAGCATAAGCAAAATTGCAGTGAGATGAGTCCCTGGCCAATCTTTAAGCCTGTGTTCAGCTTGAACCCCCAGTAGTGCAAGGTGGAGAGATTTCAGGAAGCTGAGGTTGCAGTCAGAAGAATCCTGCATTGAAATGCTGTCTATCAGCACTGGGGGACAAGTGGGAGGGATGGATGACATGGAGTGAATGTGTTTTCCAGGCTGAGCACTTGGACCTCTGTGTTGTAGTATGGACACAGATACTCAGACACATACACACTAGCTTTTATTTTAAACAAAGAATTATATGGAATAAGCTCTTTGACATCCTCTACCTGCAGCTCTCAAGAGGAGGAAGCACAAGCATTCTGACAAGTTATTTACAATTTCAGAAGTTTAGGTCCCATTAAGTGGCTTGATTGAGGTCACACAACAAATAAGGTTTCTGGGTCTCTTTGGTATGCAGGCTGTAGGACTCTTTGATCAGTTCCATCCATTTTCTTCATTTGCATTTCCCCATTGCCCTTGCAGTGTGGACCTGGTTCTATACTTTGATTCCAGACAAATATCTACGGTGCTGATATTGTGGACTGCAGCTAACAGGCTGTTCCTACTAGGTCACTAAGTAGACTTGTTCAGGTGTTGTTTCAAACAGCTAGGACAAGTAGATGATAATCCTGAGTTAAGCTTTGGGAACATTGTCATTTCAAGGGAACCTATAATTTTCTGTCTTTTGGGAGGAGTCTGCCTTTTTCTGCCAGTGAATCACTGTGAGCACATGGAAAACTTGTTTTGCAAAGTCAAACATTGTATTCTACCCTCTGTCCTGCTTCTTCTGAGAGAGTCCCGGCTTTGTGCTGGGCCCCTTTCCCTTCTTTGATGTGTTCTGGGCTTCAGCCCCTCAGCTGTAGCTCAGGTACTGGAGGAGAAAGCATTTACAGTTAGTATTCATCAGGTAACAGATGAGGGGGTTCCTGTGAGGTCCCTTCCTGCTCTGCAGAGGCTGCCCATCTCTGGGTCCCCATATACTGGGGAATTCTTTCTAGCTGGACCTAAGTGCATGCTGAAAGTCCTGCCCTCAGGACAAAATCTGTCCCTGCCTCCCTACAGAAGGCCTGTCTCTAAACACTATCACACAGGTGTGAGAGCCTTGCCATATCAATCTGGGGAAGATACCAGTATGCATCTCTTTTGAGCTGCAGGTGGCAAAAGAATCCTGAAAGGCATGCCTTCTTTCTCTTCCTCTGCCTCTGAAATGACTATTTCAATGTAGAAGCAGTTTGCAAATCAGGGTGCTGCCCAGGTGGCAAGGGCATTGCTTCTGAGAGTTTGCTGAATCTCATGCAAAGGACAGTCTTTTGTGGCCTCAGGGGAACTGGGTACAATCTGGTGGCTCTTCTTGGGACAACAAAAGAAAATGTAAACCATGAAGACACTTTTACCCCATGACGTGTCCTTAGGCAGGTGCCAATCTGAGAAAAGATGCCTGAAAGGTCAAGGGCAGGATCACTGGCTCTTGGTTTATGGAGAAAAGCAGAAGTGGAGGAGTTTGTGTGGTATTGGAAGGTCTATGGCCAGGGTCCCAATCTTTACAGAGGTCCTTCACATAAGCCTAAGGTTCTGCAGAACCTTTCAGGGTGAGAAACATGCCCGTGTTTTTCTCAGAATTTCTCTTCTGCACCGATGCACAGATGATGTTCCAGTCACATCCAAGGTCACAGAACACAGCTAAGAGGGTGTGTCCTGGGCAGGTCTCACTTGGAAGAGTCTGTGAACTTTGTTCATGTTTGGTGGACCATGGGTGTTTCTGATATCTTGTAGCGGGTGACTTCTGTGGTGCAACTGCCTAAAGTTGGTGACTGAGGGTTTTCAGCTGCCCAGACACATGACCAGGAATCACGGGTACCACTATTAGGATGTGGTCCTGCCGTCTATGAGTGGTGTTCCCTAAGCAGGGGAGGTGGTCAGTGCTCATAACTCAGGGAGCATCCTGCCCAGACTCCACCCATCATTCTCCTCAGATCCTTTTCTGAGAAAGAGTTATGGAGCATTGAAGGGCTCAGGCCTAGTGTCCAACTCTAACCTTGCTGTCTGCATCCAAGTGGGTGCTTTAGGCCTTGTTTTGTGGCAGTATTTGATCACTGTTTTGGTCTGTTCAGATTATGTCTGGGCCTCTTCTTCCTGCAGCCATCAAGCTTCCTCCTCAGCACATTCAGATATTAAGTCAAAACAGATGATATCATGATGTGGGACAGGCAGGTTGCATTCGGATGCTGTTACCTCTGGAGAAGGGGCATTTCCGACAAAAATGTAGTACAGATGCTTCTCTGTGCTTTCCAGGATAGGTATTTTGTGCCCCCTGGGACCCTGTGAGGACAGAGTACGTTAATTTTCAGAGTGTTGTCCACCCAACTATATTAAGAAGCACCACATGCTTACTCCTGAGGTCTCCTTCTGAACAAGCAGGCCTAGTGGTACGGTTGAGGCCCTACGTTGCTCCTCTTCTGAGAGGTACTTGGAAAATCTCAACCCATGAACTGAAAACCAAGACAACACAGGTACATCTGAGTCCCATAGGTTGCAAAATTCTGCTCCCTGGAATATAGGCATAAAATTGCTACCCAGACCACGGACCTACCTGCTGCTGCTTTTTCACTCACAACTGCTCCATGTGAACAAGAAATAGACAGCACACTTCTCAAATTAGCCTACAGTAGCTGTCTCTACGTTTCCCTCAAGGACCGTTTTTCTCCTATGATAATGCTAAGCATCTACAGAATGGTTGAATGAGAATGATCCCCCTGGGCTCATAAGCTCATTTCTTGGTCCCCATTCATAGAACTGCTTGGGAAGGATTAGGAGGAGTGGCCATGTTGGAGCTGGTGTCTCACTAGGGGTGGGTTTTGAGGTTTCCAAAGCCCATGCCTTTCTCAGTGATTCCCTCTCTGCCTCCTACTTGTGGGTGTGGGTGCACTCTTAGCTGATCTTAACCATGTCTTTGCTCTAACATCATGGACACTAATTGTGTAAAATGTGAGGCTGAATTAAACACACTCTTTTATAAGTTTTTGGCCTTGATCATGATGTCTTATTACAGCAAAAAAAAAAAAAAAAAAAAAAAAAAAAAAAAAAAAAAAAAAAAAAAAAAAAAAAAAAAAAAACTAAGACACCTTAGTAGTTTTTGCCTCAGTGGGTCAAAGAGGCCAATATTTACTTATTCAGAAGTCTAAGCCAGTATGATGTGTCAGGGGCCTTTGCGGCTGAGTACCTCAGATCATTTCAGGCTTAAGAAGGAGGTTGTTGAGGAAGAAGGCATAAATAGTCCTGCCCAGCTGGGATGCCTATGCACCACAACAATGACCAGCATGGCAAGATATCCAGTTTGTCAGAGAGCTCCAGAAACGCAGCTCTTCTACGCTGAGGCCAGTGCTGGGACAGGCATGGGGAGATGCAGCTGCCCTTGAGTCAACCTTCTTATAAGTGATCCCGACCCAGACCTCTGCAAGGAGCTCCAGTAAACACACTGCTTGAACAAGCTCGACTTGGGTAGAATAATTTCTTCAGGCTGATGTTAGTATCGGATCTGGGGTACACTGACATTTTCCATGTTTGTCCAAGGAATGCCTCTGACCACACACTTAAGGAAGGCAGGAGGCAGCCGAGTCTTGCTCCATGGTCTGTGTTCCACGGTTTCTGCCAGTGGCCGCTGCCTGGATATGGACTTGGTAGATGACTTCACATAGTATGTACTCAAATGTTCACTCTAGCTTTAAATGACTCATGAGGGGCTCTGGGGATTGGTGTCCTAGCCCATGGCAAAAGCACTTCTGGTGAGCTTTCTCTCCAGCCCCCTGTGGAACAAGCCTGGACAAACTCTGTTTAAGAGAGAGTCTGTACCCTCAGATTCTCCATCCTGAGGCACCTCCTACCTTTTCACTCATGTCATGTGTTCAGGTCGGTATTAGGGTCCATTCTGACTGAGTTCCACACCCAGGGTTTAGTCAACTCAGATCAGAACGCCACCATCTTCCTCCTCTGGCATGGCCATCATGGCTGCCACCAGTGTGGTTGAACTCAGTGGCCAGCATCTGCTAGTGTGTCACTTCAGGTTCCTTCAAGTGGACTGCCCTGGAGCAGACCCTCAGAGCACAGCTTCTAGCCACCGATGGACCAATCAGAGTTGAGCACAGCCTGAAGGGCAGCACCAGGACTTGCTGCTATAGCAACATGTCCTCATGCCTTTGTCTGACCCTTGGCACTCTGACCCCACACCTCACTCAATGATAGGCCAGGTCGTTTCCAGCAAGCATTTTAAGGTTTCCTGCTCCTGCACCATGGCTTCTATTCCTCATCTCTGCCCCAAAAACCTGTCGTCACTGTTCTAGCAATGCAAAAATTACAGCTCTTAATCTCAAAGGGAATGAGAGACAGTTAATTCTGGAACAAAATTTGATTGATACGTCCCAGGAAATACAGATTCGGATTACCTCAGGTTCCATGCTCCCACATGGAAGAAGTTTCAGGGTAATACCAGAAAAAAGATAAATTAAGGCAGATCAAAAATACATTGGTGGAAACATTTAGAGGGCAATTCCAAAAGGCAGTGGAGTGGTGGGTACCAAAGACTCCTAACTCTGAATGAAGTATAAAATTTGACAAAGCTACAGTAAGGGAAGATCAGGAACTTTATTGTTCTTTGTATCTTAGAAGATTCTCTTTATTATGAAAGGTAATGGGAGTCATTTTCCTACAGGGAACCTGTAGTTGCGATGTAAAATAAATAAATAAATTTAATTAAAACAATCAAAGAAAGTATAAGTCTCACGTTGATTGCTTTGGGGATGTGTGTCTTCCTCGGGGATCCTTTTGTTGAGCCGAAACCAGGTAAGACTGTCCCCATCTCTTTATGCAGAGAGACACAGGTTTATTGACAAGAACTTTAGATCTCAATCCTGGCCATCTTCCTCTAACCCACACTGCCTCAGACTCTGATTACACAGAGTGAGGACCGGGAGGATGGGGATGGGGAGGACCAGGTGAGGATGCTGAATGAGGACCAGGTGAGGATGCTGAATGAGGACCAGGTGAGGATGCTGAAGGAGGACCAGGTGAGGATGCTGAATGAGGACCAGGTGAGGATGCTGAAGGAGGACCAGGTGAGGATGCTGAAGGAGGACCAGGTGAGGATGCTGAAGGAGGACCAGGTAAGGATGCTGAAGGAGGACCAGGTGAGGATGCTGAATGAGGACCAGGTGAGGATGCTGAAGGAGGACCAGGTGAGGATGCTGAAGGAGGACCAGGTGAGGATGCTGAATGAGGACCAGGTGAGGATGCTGAAGGAGGACCAGGTGAGGATGCTGAAGGAGGACCAGGTGAGGATGCTGAATGAGGACCGGGAGGATGGAGATGGGGAGGACCAGGTGAGGATGCTGAATGAGGACCAGGTGAGGATGCTGAATGAGGACCAGGTGAGGATGCTGAATGAGGACCAGGTGAGGATGCTGAATGAGGACCAGGTGAGGATGCTGAAGGAGGACCAGGTGAGGATGCTGAATGAGGACCAGGTGAGGATGCTGAAGGAGGACCAGGTGAGGATGCTGAAGGAGGACCAGGTGAGGATGCTGAATGAGGACCAGGTGAGGATGCTGAATGAGGACCAGGTGAGGATGCTGAAGGAGGACCAGGTGAGGATGCTGAAGGAGGACCAGGTGAGCATGTGAATAAGGGCAGCTCTGTATGGACAGCAGGTCAGGCAAGCTCTCTCTAGAGTGGTGTCTGCTGCACAGGTGAACTCAAGGCACTTTAGAGATCATATGCGAAGCGTGGTTTGACTGGGTTGGCATAAATATCACAGTTGGAGTATGGGAAGGAAATAATACACAGTTTTGTCATATGATCCTTTTGAGGTTGAGGAACCTGGTATTTCCCCTCATACAGAGTGGGAGAGACATGAGCATAAGACAGAAAACCCCAGAGCTAAAGGTTTGGGAGTGGGGTGGAAAGGAAGGAGGGAGGATGAAGGGAGAGAGAAAATAAGGGGGGGAGAGAAAGGATGGAAACTAGAGAGACAGATATAGATGGGTGGGTTAGAGTGCATTTCTTGGGTTCAACCCACTTTACTCACATCTCTGTTAATTTGTGTATAATTTATAAAGGAGAGAAACTTTACCAAAAACGGTCATTGTGTTGTTGTATGAAAGTAGTCATAAAGCAGTACAGGATAGCTAAGTTCACCAAAGGTTCAGGACCGATACAACCATGGAGACACTAAGGAAAGGAGCAGGTGTTCTCTCCAGCTCCAAGACGGGGACAGCAACTAGCGACCTATCGTAAACAGACAGGTAAGATTAATCAGGTGTTCACTTGAGATTTAGAACTAAGGAACTTGAGGAATTGTCCTTGGCAGTAGGAGCTGAAATCAAAAGGGAGCGGTTGCTCAAAAGGCCATTCCAGTTCAAGGTTTATGTAAATAAAAAAAAATGTATAACAAAGTGAAGATTGTAGTTTCCACGAGTCGTTGAGCAGAGTGACAGCCCATAGCATATACGTGGTGAGGTTCCTGGGCTGTCTTGAAGTCCAGTCGAACTTGCAGTTCTCATGTGCAGGGAGTCCCAGTCTGCCTGCCACCCATGTTCCTGGGGTTCCCAGACAGTGACATTCCTCACCCCCGAGTGCATCATTCCAGGAAATCACCTTTTTAATCTTGCTAGTTCTATAGTACCTATGTGAGCTTGACCGAAGCAGAGCTCTATGGACCTGGGTTAAATCTGTGATTCTCAGAGTAATGAATGTTTCCCCTCCTTAACACCCCCGACAGCTTTCTGTTGGAGAGTGAGCTCAGGGCTGCTGCTAAGCAAGGGCTATGTCCCCAGCCAGCAGTTACTTAACTCTGTAGCATCAGTGTCCAACACCTATATGCTGAGGTAGTGTTGGTGACAGATTAAATAGGGCAATAAAATCAACCTGTATTGTAGTTGTTTCTTTAAAAATAAACAAAACTCTTTTGGAGCTCACCACTCAGGTCCCAGATAAATACACAAAGACTCACTATTATTTATGAATGCCTGACCTTAGCCTGGTTTGTTTCTTGGCAGTTTTTCTGACTTCCATTATCCCAGTTCTCTTTACCTCTTGCTTCTGGGCTTCCTACTTTTCTTTATTCTATATATCTTTCTTTTCTTCTTATTCCATGGCTGGCCCCTGGCATCCTCCTCTCCTTTTTTGCCCATTCCCCCTTCTTCTCTTGACCCTAGTTTACTTCTGTTTATTCTCTCTGCATGCCAGCCTCTCCTATCCTCTATCCTGCCTCACTATTGGCCGTTCAGCTCTTTATTAGACCATCAGGTGTTTTAGGCAGGCAAAGTAACACAGCTTCACAGAGTTGAACAAATGCGACAAAAAAGAATGCAACACGCCGGGCAGTGGTGGGGCACGCCTTTAATCCCAGCACTCGGGAGGCAGAGGCAGGGGGATCGCTATGAGTTCGAGGCCAGCCTGGTCTACAGAGTGAGATCCAGGACAGGCACCAAAGCTACATAGACAAACCCTGTCTCAAAAAACCAAAAAGCAAAAACAAAACAACAACAAAAAAAACACTCTTTGGGGTTGGGGACTTAGCTCAGTGGTAGAGTGCTTGCCAAGCAAGCGCAAGGACCTGGGTTCGATCCTCAGCTGCACCACACACACACAAAAAAGAATAAGAATGCAACACATCTTTGCATCCTTAAACAAACATTCCACAGCATAGATGAATGTAACACACCCTAAACAAATATTCCACAACACTGCAAAATGTTAAGTGCATGGCAATATTCACAATTTATTGGTTGCTTCCCACCCCTTCTTCCTATTTTAATGCTTTTCACACCATGAAACTCTCCTAGTTAGCTATGTAGGGTGCCTAGGAACTGGAGAGAACTTACAGAGTCCAGGAAATTTCCCTGTCTCTGAACACAGGAAACTCTAAGATATATCAACACACCTTTATCTCCCTCTCAAAAGAACTGGAAAATCTACCAGTAAGCACTTAGACAGAAGGATCCAAACTTCTACTGCACCCTGTCCTGATCTTATTCCTTAACAGATGTTGAGTCTGAGACGTCTTGGCCCCAGAGAGAAGTCATATTCCAGTTGGGCTTTTGTACAGGAAAAAAAGCAGGAAACCAGTGAGAGATGCCCTGTGTACAGGAAGGAAGGGAGCTGGTGAGAGATGTACTTTATTTAACTTTTCTTATTTGAGATAACCTGGGCATCACCGTGGGATGGAGATTAAACTCTTGGATCTCCCTACAATTGGCTCACTCATGGAGGGATTTTCCAAGGACAAGAATGAAATCTCTATTCAAAGAATCCCTCATGTTAAGAGTTCTTCACAATCTTGATAGCTAAGTCTCCTCTCTGTTCTGAAATTCCAAATGAACACCCTCAAAACAACCATTCTCTTTTTGAGAATCGGGGCTTCTTTTCCTTTGATTGACGTTGGGGACCCTAGGACAGGTACAGGTCTAATTTTCCCTGTCTGAATTCAGAGAAGACAAAATGCATTTAGGAAGCTTCACTGACAACCATGACCAGTTATGTCCAAACATTTGAATCTATGACCCAATAGAATAATGTGCCCAACAAAGATGTGATTTTAATTGTAGTAAACAACCCTAGGCAGGAGAGGGCCTTCCTCATTCACTCCAGCAGGGACAGCCCGAGAGGCTCCTGGGCAAGTGGACCTCTAAAGTTCCTGTTGTACACAGAGGGCCGAGTGGCTGGACAACTGCCCTTCATCTTGCCTCACCTCTTTTGATGTCCTGGGGCTGTGTATACCATGTGCCAGCTCCACTACCTCATGTGACTGCCTTACCTGCGCCATGCCAGAGTACTTTGCCTACCTTTGTTAGAACTGAGAACACACACACACACACACACACACACACTAAACAATGGCGACTCCAGGGCCCTTTATTTTGTAGAGAAAGTGTGACCTTGCCAGGTGCAGATGGCTCAGCAGATCGTGGTTTGTTCTCCTGCCCTGGTGGTCTCAGCAATGAGACAGAATGTCTGAGGGAGTAGAGCATTTTTTCTCGGTCCCATATAGAGGTGACCTGGGGTCACTATTGCAGAGGGAGGGATATTTCTCCATAGCCAAAAATGCCCTGGTATCACTCAGAGGGACTCTAAAATAGTCACATTGAGAGTCTAATAATTCTGCTGGCATTGCTGCCCATGCCAAGGTAGGTGTGGTGGTATTGGCCTCTTCTCAGGTGAATGAAGCAAAGAGGTCCCCTGGCTTGAGGAAGGAGCAGCAGTCAAGCAAGAGAGATCCACCTCTTCCTGGAGAACCAGTCAATACAGCCGGAATGTGAAGGCCCTGTGGGCAGCAGGGCCCTGAATAATGACTTCCGAGGTTGAGACTAGATTCTAGGTACTGTGGCAGGAACTAGGTTTGCTTAAGAGGAAGAAAACTGGGCACATATCTGAGGGTGTTTCTGGAGAGGTGTGTCTGAGGTAGTAAGACCCTCCTAAATGTTTTGTGTGGAATGTTTCCTCAAGCTGCATCCCCAGCTGTAAAAAAAAAAAAAAAAAAAAATGGAGAAACCAACAGGAGCATCAACATTCAGCTGTCTGGGATTCTTGAATGTGGACACAATGTGACCAGTTTCTCTCACTCCTTTACCCTGCTTCCCCACCATGACATACTGTACTATCAAATATCAAAATTTCCTTGGGGGCCTGCCCTGAGGAGATTTCTCCCAGAGTCCTGGAGAAGACTCTACAAATGAGGAACCTTTAGGCTAATCTGAGGGAATGAATCTAAGTACATGCAGCAGTGATAGCCATCTTCATGTCCTACCCAAAAGGGGAGTGAGTAGAGGAGGTGGGGCCAGATAAGGCCTGGAATAAGTCAGAAAGGGAGTTTGTGGGCTCAAAACATGTTCTTATAAGTGGTTAGGTGTAATGTTATAAGTTTATCATAAAGGATGTGGTTTAGCTGCTGTGTGCAGTGGGTGGAGTTGGTGCCGGAGCTCCCCTCCAAATGCCAAGGACGTGGTCCTGGACGCGGTGAAGGCTTACAAGGGGAGGGTCATCCTGGGATAACATCCCCTAGGTCTGACTTTCTAAGAAAGTGTAAGGAAGAGAAAAGATTGGCTGCAAGGCTGCAGAGCCAAGCCTGCCACCTAGCTGTGCAGTGAGAGCTGGGTCACTCTAGAGCTGTGTTAGGACACTGGATGTGGCAACTGTCTGGATGGGTCACACCAAGGGAGAGGTGTATGAAAGGTGACTGAGGTCAGGACTGTGTGTCCAGGGGGTAGCCGTGAGAATGACTAAAATGGATATGTCTGATGGGGAGCCTGTTCTGAAAAGCAAGTCAGGATGGGGGAGAGATCCCGGGTCTGGGGCATGTCCAGTAGGGCTAATAAAAACGGCTCTTTCCTGGGAGCCTTGACTGGTTGGTGTGGCCCAGGTACTCACCCTCAGGAGAGGCCTTATTCAGCCTTGTTTTCCTTTTTCTCACAAGGACACAGTGCACCTTAACTCGGTCTCAGACACAGGCACAGTGTTCAGTGTAGGGAGCCATGCAGCCTAGTCTCTGATCAGCATATGAATGCCTGTCCAAGGGGTCTCTGCATGGCAAAGCCTGTAGAGATGGTCTCTCACTTGGCAAAGAACAGTGGACCTCAGGCATTGCAGAACTTGGCTGAATTCATGCAGCTTGTAGGCTCTTTTC